ATCCATTTTATTATTTATTAATTAGTAATTTGTATTTGTTGATGAGAGAACTATTGGTCGATACAGCTGCAGCTGTCAGTATCCAGGGGAAACTGGTTTCATTTGTTGTTATTTTGTCAAAAGAAAGAACAGCCAGTGGTCTCTATGTGAGATTAAGCTACTATGAATATAACATCTGGAGCAGAAAATGGAAAGAAAGTTCAGAAAGTTCAGGCAATATGTTGTTGCTTGAAACACCTCTAAAGACACATGCATTCGGTCCACTTAATGGCACCGCCTGAAATGAACTGAATGTGGAATGTTTGGGTCTTTCTGAATATGTCAAATTAGAGTATTACCATTGAAATGTTTATTTTTTGTGTTGTATGAGAGAGATGAAGAATGCGATGAAGGGATGACCAACGTGGTCTGGACATTCCCAGTACATGTGTGCTTGTGGATTAAAAGGAGATTTCGCATCTCCCTGAAATTAGTTTTTGGAACTTGGGATGTCTGTATTTGTCAATCAAGGGACACTGATTTGATGAACAATAATATCACTGAAGTCATTGTATGTTAAATAGTATTTTTTCATATCTTCTTTGAAATTATAATATATAGATGTAAATATATTTTATTTATGTATAAATAAACATTATGAACATATAATATTTTAGTTAACATGTGAATAAGGATGCTAATGGATTAGCTCGACACATGTCTCAACACATTGGTGTTTCTGGACCCAGAACTACATCGCCTTTAGGAGGATAATTTACACAGTTAACTGAAATTAAGAATGTTTGTTGATGTATGATGTCATCCACTTCTAGAAGTTCACACTAGGAGAAAAATTAGGAGAAAGTTATTTCAACCCTGTAATCACTTCCTGAAGTATGGCCCAGACATAAGATTTGTACAGTGACACTTATTAGCAACTTGCCACTCCTTTTATAATTAAGGGACAACTGAAGCAGCTCATTAATTTCGTAACACTGGATAACAACAGAACGTTTTGTCAACTATTATTTGGAAATGCATTTATTTTTCTGTGTTGGAAAGTTGGAACTTTCTAAATTAATGTTATGACTGAGTTTATTTTATGGGGGTGTTGAACGAAAAGGACAGGGGACTTTCTAAGTTAAGTTAACTTGTATTTATGTTGAAGGTGTCAGTGGAGGCCTAATGGTTAGAGCAGAGCATTTGCCATCTGAGAAGGATGTAAGTGCCCAGTCTGATGCCCACGGACTCCGGCTTGCTCGCTAGGTAAGCTGCCTACTGTTCTGCAAGGGTGATAGGTTGAAGAACTGTAGGTAATCAAATTTAGTTTGAATGTAAAACTTGCAATTCAATTCAATTTAGTTTAATTATATGGTGCCAATTCATAAAATCTCAAGGCACTTTACAATTCAACCAGATCATACAGTCAAACTGATTTAAAGTTGTTTACCTAAGGAAAACCAGTTGATTGCATCGACTCATTGACTCGAAGGCCATCCCTCACACCAAAAATGAGCAAACAAGGATAACTATTGAATGCCTAATCTTAAATGACACAGCTACAGGGAAAGTACCCCCCACCCCCGTACTTTTTTGACCTTTTGCCATATTTCAGCATTCAAACATAAAGATATAACATTTTAATTTTTTTTCGTGTGAAAAATGAGCAATAAGTGGGACACAATCATGAAGTGGAGAGAAATACACTGGATATTTCATATATTCCAGAAGTCCCCATCTTGTATTTTCCACAGTTTTTCAGGAAAACCACTGAGACTGATGAGGGAGGAAGGTAACAGACTTAACGGGCCTCTTGTGCTTTGGTATTCACTGTGAATGCAGGAAAAAAAAAAAAACACTTTGGGCAGTTTATCTATCCATGCCTCTAATCGAAATGGTCCTGTATCTCTTGTACAAGCTAAAGAAAGTTGGTCCTCTTGAGGGTTTCAAGTCATGAATGCTAATAAGGTGGAACTATTCTCCTTCAAGTGTGTGAAGTTTCTAGGGAGGTGAAATAACTCCCTCCCTTTGAGGATTTTCCAATCTGCCTTTGATAACATTGATGTTGAGGGGAGAATATGTGCATTTGTTCCTGTCTTTGAGTGTGCTTGTGTTAATTCTAAGGCTGAGTCAGCACATGAGCAAAGGGGGTGGGGGGGTTGGCAGATGAGATCAAGAATGTAAAAGGATTTCTAGAGCCTGAAAGATGAAACTCCACAAGAACATGCATCTTCTCCTATTCAATACTGTCATCCAGTAACTGAAACCTTCACAGTGCTTAGTTTTGACTATGTCTGCATATCACAGGTTGAAGGAAATATTGCTTGCAATATACAGTAGTCATACAGTAAGTGAGGTTATGGAAGCTAAAACATGAGATCATTTAACCATCAATTTATTCCATTGCAATTATATTTTAAATATGTTAAAAATAAAATATTTTAAAATTGTTTGCTATGGTTAAGTATGGTTATAAGTAAAATATCTGCCAAGAACTGTCACATCTTTTACTCTAAAACAAATAAATTCTAGTGGCAGAATAATAAACATGCATGTGTACAATGCATGAGACACACACATAAAACTTAAAATACTATTCTTGCTGAGGGAAATTTATTTAGTGAGTTTAACGGTAAGTGGTAGTCAGCTGCAGAGGATTTCAAAACTTTGATCCTTGAGAAAAAGTATGTGCATAAGGCTGAGAATTCTTGCATGCTACACTGGAGGATTGGAACATCTATTTTTGTTAAGTGTGTTCACATCAAAATGTAAATTCAGTTGAGGCTTGGGGGAAAAAAAAGGCAGCATTCATATTAAATGTCAGTCAGCTATTGTTACTTTTCATTTCTGCAGGATTTTGTATTTATGTGTGACCAACAGCTATGGTGCATCTTGGATTGAGCAAGTATATGTTATACTTAACAAGCGTTAACAAAACAACCAGCTATCCAATTTATTCATAATGATGTCCACTAGCAGCAATGAAAATTTACATTAGGTTATAATTAAATTATATACGTATCCAACAGTATTTCAGTGGGTAGTGGGGCACTGAACCTTGACTCCATTAGTGTAACTGTGAGTGCTTCCGAAAACAATCATTGTCTCCAGTAAATATCAAATAGTACTTTAGATTCAGTGTAAAAATGACTTATCTTTAATCAGAATCCAAAATTGTTTATTGATACCCAATTTCAAATCAGCCCTTGGGTTCCATCTAAAGCTCAGACAGCTACCAGTTGAGGCTAGGAAAGAAAGATTGTACTCAAACTAAAAGTCCAGATGCATCTGAAAAGTGATAGTTAATCTTTTTCAAACATACATCAATAGGGATAAAAATCCGTAGTGCCCATTATATGTTTAGAAGTGATACAAAACCATAACAAAAGTAAAAAGCCACAGCCATGGCTGGTAAGTAGATGACTATAGAATAACAGGTCATGGTCTTATTCCAAAATACCATGAAAAGCAAGACTGTAGGGTACAGATGCACAAAAAAAAGGCCTTAGGGCTTATGGAGTTATGAAACAACAATCAACATGTGTGTTTCGAATTTCGCTTTGTTTTTTTTTTCTTTTTGGGTGAGGGGGTTGCTAGTCTGAAAACCCCTCCCCTCTGGTAATTACAGCTATGGTAGCATCGTGAAGATAGAAATTTTGCTCTGGGAAGGACTGTGGCTATTGAACATCAAGACACCAATTTGGTAGCTGAGGGACACAGTGTGAAAATACTGTAGTAATATCTAATTACACCAGCAAGGAAGAGATTTGAGAGCAAACTGGTCTTCTAAAATGATGATAACTCTCATCACTGAGTCAGAAAATGATACCAAAATTTTAAAGGATCTTTATCCTCTTTAAAGAAGTTTTTACCATTTTTTTTTCTCCTTGGTTGTACCTTTGCCCTATTCTGGCTCTACCTTTATCATATTCCTTTCAAAATAGTCAGTTATCCTGAGCTAATTTCTATATTTTTGCTGCTATATGTTTAGGCTGCTGGAGGACACACAGTAGATTTTCCTCATGCTGCTTCATTCTATCTCTATTCTCCCATTTTGCAGAAGTTTGTAAGTTCCATTTAGAACTTTATGTTCTCTCTGTTTTTTTCCTGTTATAGTAGCTTCATCTGGTCTGTTCCTGATTGGCTGTGACATGATCTTTGATGTGGAAAAAATAAGGAAATTGGAAACAAAATGGCACTCAACATGTCTAAACCAATCCTCCTTAAAATGTAAAAAAAATAGAAAAAACTTACACAAACCTAGAGCAGCATATTTTTTGGTCACTGACAGAGGACAATGTGAGTAATCATATGCAACCCAGTTGCCAAACTCAGAGTTATACTGTAGCTCTGTTTAGCAGCCCTTTCACCCAATGCTCAGCTGTAATGATTTTATGGCAATGTTCATAAATAAGACTTATTCTATTAGGACTAAATTAATGGCATTGAAATGACATCTTGGTTGTTTTAGATGCAGTTGACCTTTTTGTCTGCAAGACCCAATCTCATCGAATTATTCAAGGAAGCATTCCCTTTAATACTCCCCATTTTAGATGTGATTATTCTATTCATACCAGCGATGTGTAACTTAACTGTTATTAAAACCTTTACTTAAGAAACCTTCTCTTGATGAAGAGGGTTGAATGAATGATATACCTAATGCATACCTAATCTTTTTTCTTATTAAAGATCTTGAATTTTGTTACACATCAAATGTAATTTTTACTGTAGTAACATTGTCTGCTCCGAGCAAGGGTTTCACCAGTCGTGTAAAATTTTGGAAAGTATGATATGAAAAAGAAAAACAAACAAAAGAATTTGACTGTCAACCCTAAAAAGATAATTGGCTAGTGAAAACAAATAACTTTCAACATAATTAATCAAAATGGAAGGAAAAACATTTTAATTTTAAGGCAAAAAATGTCATATAACTTACTGTTTGTAATGAGATACACTTAACCTTTTTTATAGGGAAAATATCATGTGTGGTTTTGTTTTTGTGATTTACGAGTGTGTCTTACCCACAGTGAGTTGACCAGTCAGTTGTCCCTGATCATTTCTAGCATTGATGGTCACATTTCTGTCTGACTGAAGAGTCAGTGGACTATCCTGAGGGAGGTAGAAGAGAGAGAAAAGAACACAGGTAACTTGTTAAATTCTTTTGCTGATATAAGATAGAAAGCCTTTGGTAAAAATGTATGAAATTAAAATGTATGTCGATCTTGCAACCTTTAATTCAATACAGTTAAAGAGTTTGGATTGGTGTGCCACAAAGTTCTTGGTTAGGAGAAGTTGTTTTCTCTAATGGAAGCTCTTTAAGAAATGTTGATCCAGCTACTTGGATGCCACTGCACATTTAGCATATTTTGGATGCTTCTAGCCTTTAAACATCCTAACCTAAATAAATAAGTTATTTTAATGTAATTATATTCTTAATGAAGTAATTTGACTATTAAAAATAGGTGTGTTGACTGTATTCCCTGCCACTTATTGTACCTCTTGTGTTGTTACCACTTTAGCAACTCTCAAAGTCTTCAGGAGTATCCTCTTAGCAAAACTGGTAGATTAGGGGGCCTGGTAGCTCAGCTGTAGTAAGATTAAGCATTAAAGATTTGTATTTATATTTACCTTAAGAAATCTCTTTAAAACACCAGCTTTACCAAAAATATTGCAAACAAAGGTAGACCCATAATAATATCAGAAGTTTATCATTAACCCTAACCCATCCCCTTGAGGAGTAGTGGGCTGCCATTGTGCAGCACCCGAGGAGCAATGTGGGGTTAAGGGTCTTGCTCATTGACCCAGAGTGCAGACTGTGGGCATCAAAGTGGATACTTGCAACCTTCTCAGAGCACAAGCGCACTGCTCTAACCACTAGGCCAATACGCATCAAGAAATGCCCAATATGCATGTCTGGATGTTCGCATTTGTCGATGCTGCCTGCACCTGCAATGCCATAAAAAGTTTCCTACTGTATTTTATCAAATGTATGAAGTTTACAGCTCTGTTACAGTATAAAACACAGAAAGGCTGAATGGGATTCTGTTATTTTAGACTTTACTGTGCACTGTCTGACTGAAGGAATCCCGTTCAGAGTACAGTAACTACTACAATACATATGAGGATGATTCTAAACAACTTTGAGCAAATTCAGCAAATATGATCAGCATATTTCTGGTAGAACATAGGATAGGCAAAAATATATATGTTTAAAATGTCAAATGATATTTTCCCTGCAACATTTAAATATTTTTAATGTTGAGGTCTTAGATTCATTCTAACCATAGGAAAGGAAACTTTCAACTACTGTAAAGTAATTTTCTTCCTTCTCAGTGTGCATTCGTAATTCTATGGATGCCGAAGTCAATTCAGTCAATACTTAATTACTCTGTATAACTAGTGCCTTTAAGTTGTAGCCACTGCCCCATTTTAATGCTTGATTCATTCAACTCTGCAAACAGAACAAACTTTGCGAAATACAGTATCTATGTTATATATTTAAAACAGAACTATCAGGGAGTTCTTGCTTGCTTTAAAAAAGTAAATTTCTATAAGTACAGCTGCAAAAAAGCCAGTTACTTAATCCCCTAATGACACAATTGCAGCCATTATGATTTTAACCTTTGCTGTCCTTTATTCTGATGTTCTCCCACTCTGATATAGTCAGCCACTGTAACACTGGTTAAGAGTTCCCCCTTTACTGTTATAAATTTAACTACAAAAGTTAAGCTGGTTGGCTGTCATTAATTGGAGCATCAGATTCCATAGATATTAGTGTCTACTCTTTTTCTTTTTTTTTAGGATGTTTTACATAATTTCCTTTTTTCATTTCCATTCTCTTCTTTCTCTTCCTCATTTTCCTTTTTAGATTACTTATTTGTTTTGACTGCATATGAATGAACAGCTCACAGGTGACCCAATTTCTCTCTTGATTTCCCCCTATTAATATCGTGCTGGATTCCCGTCTGAATTTTAAATGAGAATAGTGTTCAATTTGAAAACTCGTTGATCCGTTAAAATGGAGAAATCCTTTTTCCCCTTTTTCATCCTCTTCACTTCCCCTCTTCTCATACTTAGTTGTGCTATTTACTATAGATGAATATTTATTATTTTGCAGCCTGCTGCTGCTTTCTTTTTAAATGCCAAACATGTCCAGGCTCTGTTTAAGAGCAGGGGAGGGACTTCAGCAACAAGGGTCAAAAACACAAATATGGAGTGCTGTGCAAATAACTGTACTAATAGAACTGCGAGTCACAAAAATAACTACAACAGAAGACAATATACAGTTAAGATAAACTATCTAGATGTGTAGCTGTTATATTGAATGAATATGTAGAATCTGCCACTACAAATCTCATTCTTTGTATGTTTGTCACACCTAAATGTGTCATAGCATCAAATTAAATGAAAAACTATTAGTTGACAACAGTAAACACAAAAGGCTATTTTAAAATAAAGTATTTTATCTTTAAACTATTTAAGCCAACATGGTACTAATTTAAAAAAGTGATTGCCCACCTTTCATTAAAACATGACTTGAATGTTCGTGGCTTATAACACATGACTTCAATATCTTTAGCAACTACCAGGCTACACCTGTTCTCAATCAAGAAAACACCAGCCAGACAATCTGATGTACGTAAATCTTTAAAAGCTTGATATCTGAAGAAACTTAGAAAGGAGAAAAAAAGTGATTGACATTGATCAGTCTGGAAATGCTTGAGTCGTTTCTAAAGCTTTAGGACTCCGGTGAACCACAGTAAGAGCTGTTATTAACAAATACCAAAAACATGCAAAAACAGAAGGAAAATATGTGACGATCTGTTTATGACGGCAAGCTGTAACATCAATGATCCAAAAGTCCATTTCTGAATTGCCAATTGCATTTTATGTAATTGATAGTCTGAAACACGTTAGTGTAACAAATATGCAAAAATAAAGTATATAAATAAATAAATAAATAAAAACAAAAAAATCATGAAGGGAGCAAACTTTTTTTTCCCACCACTGTAATGCTTGTGTCCAGCAGTCATGTATGCTGTAATTTATTTCCATGATGGTGCAACTCACTCCACACTACAAAACATGACAGCTTTAATGTGATTTAAATTGAATCTGGCTAACGGCGAGGGTGCCTATCCAGAACCGATCCAAATCACTTGTCCAGTACTTTGTTTTACATACAAATCTTATGACAAATCATTCTTTATTATACAATAATATGCAATTTTATTGCATTGATACCCTCTAAAACAGATGTATGTTAAAAAAAAGTTGTTTACATTTTTTTACTATTTTAGAAGGAATATAAAGTACCTTAAACTATGATGGTTAATTTTAATTAATAACATGTGTAAATTGTACCAAAAGGATATGAACATTTATAACATATTTAAAATTAAAAAAGATTTGGAAAACCAGTGTTATATAATAACACATTCATTTGCACAAATTAATAAGTGTCAATCATTTGCTTGACAACTTTGAACTGACTGTTTATTTTTTCAAATATGACACATTGGGTGTTAAAGTAGTAGGCATTAAAAATTTCCCCACCCTCCTTGATGGGCCCTTGGCTAGTTCTTGGCTGGTCTCCTACAATTTCTTTTTAAACATCAATCTTTGTACTAAAATATTTGTTCTGTCATGATTTGTAGACATAAAGATCTAAAGAGAAGCAACTTCTCCTATAATTCAGTGAAAGGGTGGAGTCAGAGTAAAATAATATGCATTCCCAGGGAAGGAGGGGGTCACTCCAGCTGCTGGATGTCGGAGGGGATTTTGCTGGGATTTGCAGGGAAGTGTGCTGCCATTTATCTGGGGTTTGAATGGGAAGAGGCAATTTCAATGGCTGCTACTGTAGCTTTCAACATATTCTCATTATCAGTGCGTATGAAATCGTACGAAAAGTTATGCACACTATTTTGTACGTTTTGGACGTTTTTCCTCAAAAAACCACATCAGTGCGCATGCGCTGGCAGACAGAAAAAAAAAGCAGATCCGCGGACGGACGTAAAAATGGGAAAAACAGTGCAATAATCACTTATTCATGTCTCTAACTACGTTGCTTGCTGTTTTATATCTTAGGGTTAGGGTCAGGGTTAGGGCTAATTGTAATTTATATTCTATATTCGTGAATGGTGCGTCAGATGCGCATGTGCATACGACGAAATAAACGTCCAAAACGTACGAAATTACGGTGCATAACTTTTTGTACGATTTCATACGCACTCATAATGAGAATAAGTTGTAGCTTTATGCTGGACTGAAAGGACAGTTGTTTTCTGTGTCAATTGGTTTTGCTTTATATAATCACCTTAACCCAGGACTCTTACCATATCAAGTAAAAATGAAAGACTGGAATTAGATTATTTTTTCAATTTAATTTTGTTACAGGGTGGGAATTACAATGGAATTACTCATTAATCACTAAGCTGGATTAATGCAATCTGTCATATCTGACTTTTCCCACAGACCATTGCATTGGTTAGTAGCAAAAACACCAATACTAGTGTAGTCTTCAATTTGCACAGTTACAGATGTGTTGGGCCACATGTGGAGCTGGTTTACAGTTGCGTTTTGTATCTCTGTTTCTTTCTTTACGTCTGCTTCTGTCTCTTTGGCCTTGGCAGATGGCCGCTTACTTCCTGTTAAAAGGGAGTTTTTCCTCTCCACTGTCACTACAAGCCTGCTTAGTGTGAGGGATTGCCTTCAAGTCAATGAGTCGATACAATCAACTCGTTTCCCTTAGATTGAAAACTTTGATTCAATGTGACTGTATGATCTGTTGATTGTAAAATGCCTTGAGATGATGTGTTGTGAATTGGCGCTGTAGAAATACACTGAATTGAATTGAATAAGTCTCACCAACAGCTCGAAATAATCTGGATCAGATGAGTGGTAAAGAGGGACTGGAGAGAACAAAGCAGGTGTGTGAAATGAGTAATCAGACCTGGCATCAGTGCTGAAATCATCACATATATGGCTTTATATAAACTCTATGTTAAAAGTATTTACTCATCATGCCAAATAAGTGAGATAAGAGTCAGACATTCTAGCTTTGTTCTCTGATAGGATGCCATCTGGGCAACGAGTCCAGGACCTCAAAT